TAATTAGGCCGTCGTCTAGTTTAATGTAAGTTGTAATTGCATAAAAAATTCCTCATTTCTATGGTGCATTAAATATATGTATATTTTTCCCTAATTTTTCGCTGTCGTATTTGTTTTTGCATTTAACTCCAGTACCCCCTTGAGGCATTTTCCCCATTTCCATAAGCTGAGCTCAGTGGGTGGTGGGTTTTTCCCTCCCCCCCCCCCTTGAACCTCACCTTCTTCGTTTTGCAATTCCTGACCATAAATTTTGCAATTAACGACAAATGTCACTTTGTCTGGCCGATGGCGACGTCGACGACATCCGAGACCATTGCAACCATTTTTGCAGAGAGGAGAATGGAACTCAGTATGGGTTTGGGTGTGTGGACCTTCATTCTATATTTTTTCTATATTTTCTTTTTTTTGTTATTGTTGTTTGGGGAGAGCTGAGCTGGTTGAATGCTTTTAGCCAGGACCAAGGACCAAGAGCAGCAGAGCATGGCATGGAGCGCACACAAGCACCAAGGAAAATCGCAAAACCTACCATTTTTTTTTGTTCCATTGCCACCACCCGCAACCACTCTTACGGTCTGCTCGTCCTGCAATTGCATTAAAAAGCATAAATTTACTTTAGACCAGGCCCAGGAACGTTATAAAATCCATTTATGCACTTCACTTGCTCTCTTTTGCATGGCGCCCATCTCCTTCTCCTTGGGTTTTCCACATTTCCCTCCATTTCGGGGTGGTTGCATGCCCTGCTGGTCAGTTGGTTTCCTTTTTTAGGTCCTGGGCCCTACGAGTCCTGTGCAATCTACAATAATTCCTGATTTCTTTTTCCGTTTTTTTTTTTTATTGTTTTTGTTTTTGGTGGCATTCCCATTTTATATTTTTCCTGCCAATTTCTGCAGTCCAGGCTAGCGTAAAACTGAGAGAGAGAGACCGATGGTTTGCAGGAGCTATGCAATTTTTACTAAAAATTTCACAACTCGAACGGGGGAGAGGGAGGAAGAGAGAGGCCTTTGCTTTTGTTTTGTCCTGTGACACGATGATGAAGTTTAATTTGGACACGACCCGAGTTTGGGCCAACAGGAGGCTCAAGTTTGGTCCTTTTTTGTATTTTTGGGGGGTTCCTATTTGGCACCCGCATGGGGTGGCAGGTAACCCACAGAGGAGTCGCTACTGGGAGTCCCCTTGGAGTCCTCCCTTTTGAGAGTCCCCTAGGACCTCCCTTGGAGATCCCTCTGGGAGCTACCCCTTGGTGTTCCCTCTTGGATTTCCCCTTGAAACCCCTTCTGGAAGCCTCATTGCATTGCCTCCCATGATGTCCAGGGAAAAAGTTTTTTAGAACTTGTTTACCGGAAATGTTTAAAATTTTAGTTTTCATTGGAGAATGTCATTGCAATATGCTTTCTGTTTTTTTTTTGCGCTAAAAAAGGGTAATGAAATTTAAGGTATCTTAAAAAAACATAGTATGATATAAATTTCATATTAAAAACTCTCTTTACTATGGCCATTGCTTTAATAAGGATTATCGATTTTTGATTACTAATTAATACAAATTAATTTAAAATAAGAACATAATAAATAAAGGTCTAAAGATTAGAGTTTTCTATAAATAAAAAATATATGTAATAATTATTTTCATTTCGAGATCTTATGATTAGAGTATGTGATAACTTTATATATATTTTTTATATATTCATTTCAATGACTAATAATTAAGTTTTTAAATAAACAAATATATATGTATAATATATATAATATATATATATATATAATATTCCACTTAAAAGAAGACTAAACTTTCCAGATAATATTTTATCCCTGATCCTTGTACATATAACCTGAAGAACCTTTCTATTTCATCTATTTTAAGTCTATATTATTTTTCAATTGCTTTCGGATTATGAAATAAATCTTTTTCTAGTATTTCATCTTTTTCAAGAGTTTCAATAGATAGATTTATGGATAGATAGATTTTTAGATATAGATAGATTTATCTTTCCCTATAGGTTTTAGGGAAAATAGGCCTCTGTCCAGGCACATTTTTTGCCCAACTATGCAATTCCCATTCTCTGAAGTGTGTTTGGGGCTTTCTTCTTTTGCCCATTTCCGGTTCTCATATATATTTTCGATTTTTCAACGTAATTCTATACCCCTCTTTTTCTATCTATCTCTATCTTCCTTTCTGTGTGTTGGCTTAAAACTCGATTTCCTTTGGGGTTCCTTTTTTTGGGGCGTGGCAGAAAATACTGCAGTTGCCACACAAGCCTAACCCCGGCAAAACGCTTTAGATAAACAATCAGCAAACTGCAGCAGCAGCATAAAATAATACAAAAAAAGAAGCTAAAATTTAATTCCCTTTTTTCCCCCTTTTTGAAAGTTTTTGTTGAACGTTTTTTTAGAGCTGAATGTGTGTGCAGAATGTTTTTTGTTTGCATGCGCTTTTCTGCAGAATTTTCGGCAATATTCCATTAATACTTGGACTTTGTTTGCTTTTGCCAGTTCTGCTCCCAAAGTTTTGTTGATAAATATATATCGATATTTTTTGTGTTAGCAATAAATTTGCAGAATGCAAAAATGACTGCCTTGCTGCATAAATAAATCATCAATGCATTTGGGCTTTATTTTTTTTTTAACTTCAATTGCAGAGCCCCTAAAAAAATTCTTTGAAGCGTAAATGAAATTCTAAATGGAAAATCCACATGACATGTCTGTGTTTTTTATCTCAAAACCAAAGTTTATTTTTGTTTGTTTCGTATTTTTGCCAAAGGCGATTTATGCAACAAATGGAATTTTAAATGGATTTGCAAAATATTTTTGACGAGACAAATTTGCAAATAAAACTAGTAGTTATTTATTAAATTATTCACTTTTGCTTTAGGGAATGGAATTTATTTAAAGAATACAATTTTTGGTTTAAGGATTCTTTATTGGATATAGGAATTTCAATAAGAATTGTTTGTAAAAGTTAAAGCTGCAATATTTACACAAATTAAAGATAGTTTTTTTAAATATTTAAGATATTGGTATAATGGATATTTTTAAAGATTTTATTTACATATCTTTTTTAGTTACTTTATAATTATTAAAATACTAAAAATCTGAACACGATGTGTAGTTATTGATTAACAATTTAATTAGCTAAATTACATTAATTTTAACTAAGATTTAAGTACTTTTAGAAAAGTATAAACAAATTCCATTAATACAAAAAAAAATAAAACCTTTTAGTCTGAACCAACTATTGATGGATAGCAAAACTCACACAGACGTTAAACTAAAACCTTTTATCAAAGATAAATAAAATGAAAAACTCTCCGGTGGGGGTGGGGTTGGAAAAGCTGCTGCATGCGACAAATGCAGGCAAAAGAGGAAAATGGGAAAAGCCGAGACTCGGCAGCACAGCAGCAGCAGCAGCATATGTGATGGATGGAAAAAGGAAAGCCTCTCGGTGAAAGCCAATGTGCAGTGTCTATGCAAAAGGGGGAGTGGCGAGTGGGTGGTGATAGTCTCGCTCTCTCTCTCTATCTCTCTCTAGTTCTCCCTCTCTCTCTCTCTCTAGTTGGTTTCTACCTCTGCAGTCGGCCAATGTGAAATAAATTAAAATATTTTTATCTACACTCGTGCACGTAGTCCGTAGCCTCTGTGTGCAATGGAAATTGCCACCGACCGCACTTTAGCTGCAAAAGTTTTTCCAAGCTTGGGAGTTTTACCATCCCTCTAGAACTTGGCCAGGGGTGTGACACCCCCCTTGGGGTGCACTGAGGAAAATAATTAAGATATTGAATTAATTTATTTATAGGTTATATTTATTGCTTTCTTTACTCTGAATTTGGATAAAATCTTAATTTATTCACTGAGCAAAAAAGGATTTGGCACTAACAAAAATTTTATTCCATAGTTTTTGAGAAGTTTATAGAGTTTTTTAAAATTTCAACTTTAAGAATCTTAGTAATTTGATATAAATTAATATTTATTTAATTAAATAATAAGTATCTATTTCGTTCCTTTTTACTCTTTGACTCCTTAAAATTTTTGTTGATACTTTTAGACACATTTTTAAGAGGTTTACAAATCTTTGTGGTTCCCTTTAATGTTCTTTTATTGATTATTTATTTATAATGGTAGATGGGAATACCTGAAGACCCCTTGATCACCTTTGTGTTCTAATAAATTCTGAAACATCCCAAATGATTTCTTTTTTCTTGTTTAAAATGTTAATAGAACAACATTTTTAACAAATTAAGCCTGGAACTCTACAATTGAGACTCTTTTGAATATTATTCTGAATTTTTAAGAGTATTTTATTAATTTATCACTAACTTTTGTAACATTTTCTTTCTCTGTATTTCCCTTTTTGCCAAAGTAAAGTTTTGTTTTTGCAGAGTTGCATTTTGGCAAACCAAAAAAAGAAAATAAACTAATTTACTCGTTTGTTTTTACTTATTTTGTTGTTTTTGAGAATTATTGCTGCATCGTGTTGAAAAAGGGTTGCAACTGCAGTTGCCACTCGCTCTCTCTCTCTCTCTATCTAGCTCTCTCTGTTTCTCTTACTTTCCTTTACCAACGTACTCTTTCTAACACATCTTTCCTTCTCTTTCTGACCCATCTCTGTCTCTGTTTTATGGCTTATACATATGTGTTGTCTGCTTTTTGGCGCATTGCACTAACCGACTATAAATGAAATGCCGCATGACGGCCCCCCTCCATTGATCTCATCCCCCATTCCCCATCCCCTTTCTCTCTTTCTCTGGATTTCCTCTGCTTTCTCTCTGTCTCTGTGTGTGTGTGTGTGTGTGTTTGTGCATGCAAAAAAGTGAAAGTTTGTGCTGCTCCTTTTTTGAGTTTCCCTCACTCGGCAAAGAAGAGAGAGAGAGAGAGAGAGAAGGGAGAGCGAAGGGAGAGTGAGCCAAAAAGGGGGTTTTTTCTGTGTGTGTATGTGCTCTGCACTTTGTGTGTGTTGGGGGTTGCACACAACCGGCATTGCCACTGCCACCCCCCTTTTTTTTTTGCAGGGCCAAGTGCTGCAGTCGAGGGTTGTTGTGTTTCATAATGATGACAGCAGCCAACTTCAGTGCTCCTTCCTGATGCTGCCCCACACTGGTCATCATGATGATGATGATGATGATGAAGATTACGTTTGGCTATAATGACGTTCTATGCAAGGGATACAACCCTCATGCAATGTTGTTGTTCATTGATTTTACTTTATTTTTCTTTTTCGGGGTCTCTCTACTTGTTTTGATACCCTTGCAGGATTTTATCAATTGGAAATGCAGGGAACATGAAATATATATGTTTTTAATTGTTGATTAGCATCAGTAGAGGAGTTATTTAAGCCTTGTTAATGCTTATGACATAACATATGGTCATACTTTATTAAGTAAAAATCCCTTTTAGGGACTTTAATTCATCAGAATCATCATCAGACGAATTAATCTAGCCTGCTCTATACTTCTGACACAAAATGTGGTCATATTTGAATATTCAATGTTGTATATCCATCACCAGACGACTTAATCTGGTTATATCCTTGATTATGACACAAAATGTGGTCACATTTTTGTGTATATATAGTAATCTTTAAAAGATTTGTATTCTTCAACATAACTAGACAAGCCTATTTAGGATTGATACAAATTTTGATCATATTTTAACATTTAAAATATTACTTAAAAGACTTTCATTGATTAACAACGCCAGGCGAATAGATTTAGCCTAGCTATGACAAAAAATACGGTCACATTAAAGCATATAAAATAGTCCTTAAAAAACCGTTATTGATTAACATCACCAGACGCTTCCATCTAGCCTTATGACACTGTCACACTTTTGTACTTAAAATAAATGCCTTTTATTATATTATAAGAAATTTTAAAAGTAATTCTAATGGTTATATATTCTGTAAGAGTATCCAATCTTCTGTTTCCTGGAGCTAGCATCCTTTGCTGTTTTTCCTTGTGCTCTTTTTTTCAATTCACATGGAAGAAAAACTTTTTTCCAAGCAACAAAATGCATTTTTTGTGCGCCGCCTGCAGACAATGCGACAGACGGAAAAGGAGGTGGAATGGAAAACTGGGGGTGGTGGGATGGAAAATCGTATAGTAGTAGAGTAGTAGAGCCTTTGTGGACTAAGGGGGGTTTAACAGGGGAAGGACGAAGGTTGGTGTTCTGCTGCCTGCATAGAGAGAATTCATTTGGCCCTGTGTGTTGTCTGTGGGTGTGTGTGTGTGTGTCTGGCTGTCTGAAAGTCTGGCAAGGAAATCACAGACGATAAGGAAATGAGTGAAAATTCATTTCAGCTTGTTCTATTTCCCTCTCTCCCCCTCGTAGTTGTACTATTTTATAGTATTTTCTCTTTACTACGACAAAAGTTTCCCCGCCGTCGCCTTCGGTTGACACATTCATTCTGTCTCTCCAACTTGTGGCTATAATTTGCCTGCATTTTCCTTGGCCAACTCCTGCTGCAGTTGAGCAATTTATTGCTGGAACATCATCCTTGTCAATTTCCTCGTTTTTCTTTATCTTCCTCTCTCTCTCTATCTCTGTCTTTTGCGGCTTTTTTGTTTTTTGCGGCTTGCAGAACTTGAACTCAAATGAATTTTCTTTGACTTGGTTTTTTTGTGCAGTTTTTCATTAGGATTTCTATGCTGTCCTGCGGCAGTTTTCTCTAGTTAATTTGTGTGATTTGCTGCATTGAAAAAAAGGGGAAAAAGAGTAGAGAATAGAAGAGAAGAAAAAGAAAAGTTTGAGAGAAGCTATAACTCATCAACTGATTGGAGAATGTATATGTTTGTGTATGAGAAAAAAGTTGTTCGACTTAAGATATATCAAGTATATGGTATAGTAAATGTATTAAATAAAATAAGTGTAATTATACACTCATAATTTTACTTAGAAGCTTAAAACCCTGTGAAGGAGTCATTTCCGACTCTATAAATCATATAGATCTTGATCAGCATCAACAGGCGAGTCGGTCTTGCTATGCCTGACAAAAAAGTAATTTTTTCCAAATTTTTAAATTTTTTTTAAGGGGTTAAATCTTTAAAATTATGAAATTGACAAAAAGTTGAATTTTTTAACATTTTAAATCGAGTATGCAGATTTATTAACCTACTAAAAATTGACTTAGGACAGCTTTCCGAATTAAAATTAATTCTTTTTTGGCTTAGTTATGAGTTTATTAAATTTGGGATTTTAAAAAAAATGTTGAAAAAATGGTGATAAATTTCTTTTCAAATAAAGCAAATATTTTAAGGATAGTTATGATAGATTTTCGATCCAAGTTCAAAATCAAATGGCAAGGGTTATAAACTTTGACTTCCAGAAGTCAGGTTGCTTTTTTGTTCTTATATTAACTTATTGTTTATTTATTTGTATTCATTTGACAAGTAATAAATATGCTTAAGCCTCTCCATTATCCATATTTTAAAGTATAATGTAATATAATTTTCCATTCAATTCAATTCAATTCATTCATGACAACTGCAATTTGCAGATAGGAATCTCAAGACACTCGTGATTCGAGGGAAATGCAAAGTGATTGTTATTGGTAACACCCACATACACCTGCTTTAAACACTTTCGATTTGTCTGCCAAAATGTCATAACTTTCGCTTTCTTTGGAAGTCGCGAGTTTAACCCCAGAAAGACCTCTGAATGCGATTCCGATTTCGACCCAGTCCAAGTTGTCATCATTTGTGGCACGCAACCAACAAAAGTTGTAAGCAAAAAAAATATAAAATAAAATAAGAAACAAATATAAACAACAAAAAATAAAATAAAAGTAAAAGTCATGCAACAAAACAATTTCTGCCTTTTTTGCAGTAAATTGCATGTGACATTTCATTTGCTTTTTATTTAAATTATTTGTTTGTTTTTGATTTGTTTTGTTTTCTATTTTTTGGTGTTTGTGTGTGCTTTTTTTGTGCACCTTTTGTTTGTCGTGACAAACGCTGTCTGGAACAATTTGAGTGTGACTTTGTACACTCACATAAATATCTAAATATATACTTACCTTGTGTACATAATTCCACCTTGTGGGCGTTGCAAAGTGCAAAAGAAATTCCATTTTTTCAAGCCTCTCCTACTTTCCATATTTATATTTTTTGTTTTGTATTTGTATAAACATTTGACATTTTGTGGCTAAATTATAATGTTTATTTTTTGGGTGGGCGATGTGTAATAGTCACTTAAGAAAAAGAGTTAAAAGACTTTTTGCGGGGGCTTGCTTTAAATGAAAGTTGCTTTTAAATATTTCTATAATTATATTGTATGAATCAAAGTTCATCAATTAAATATTATAGTAATAAATAATACAAATTGGGACCATTTTCCATAGAGAAAATTATTTAAAATATACCCATAAATTCACTCTATATTCAAATGCTCTCATTTTTATGTGTCACATTATAATACTTCAAGAAAACTCTTCCTTTCTTTTATTCAACAACACGCTTTTTTATATGAATGGCAATAATTTTATGCAAAACACACACACACAAAGAGCGTGAAATCTCCTCGTATCTCTGCTTTTGTGAGTCATGTAAAAAGTGAAATAAAATAAAAGAAAGAGCCAAAAGAGAGCAAAAGAAAAAAACAAAAAAAAAGTGAAATGAAATCAAATTTATCTTGAACTTGAACTTGAAAAAATGAAAATGAAGCCATCGAAGTCTGTCCGCAATGTTTAACGTTTCTTTTTTTTACAGCTGTTGCTTTTTTGTTTGTTGTTCATATTAAATTGTTGTTAAATGTTTTGAATTACATTTAAAACAACTTTTGCTTGAATTTAAATGAAGCTCTTGATGGTGCAGTTTGCAGCTGTTAAAAACTTGATTAAAAAGCTAAAAATGTACGAGTAGAAAATGCTTTGCAATTAATTTGATATTTTTATATTATTTGCATTTGACTTTTATTGTTTTTTCTGTGCTGTCCGTTTGTGAATGTCAGCTGGCTCAAAGTCAGCGAAAAAATATATATACAAACATATAATTTATATATATTTTTGTGCGACTTTGAAACTGACGCAAAACTGCAACAACAACTGCAAAAAAAATAATAAAAAACTTGTATTTCGACCAAGAAGGGGTTAATGGAGGGGGTGTTGTGGGGTTAACTGCGCAAAAGAACATTGAATGCACACAAAATGTGTTTTAATGAGATAATTGCAAAAACCGAAAAAACAAAACCAACAAAATATGGTTGGAAAAAAGTTAATCATAAAGCAGACGCAGCAAACTGAATAGCAGCTAAAAATAACAATAAACAAATGGAATATATAATATATACTTATATACAATTGGATAATGCAAAAAAACTTATTGCAACGAGTGGAAAAGAGAGGCAAGAACGCTTAGAGAAAGAGAGAGCAATTTGAATGGAAGCTCGTGTCATTTAGCGACTTTTAATTAGTCTAACATGGCCAAAACTTAATTGGTTAAAATATGAAGTTTTAAATGTTTATAAACAAAAAAATAGCAATAATAAAAATACTCAACACACTCTTAAGTAAATTACTACAATATCAGAGAGATATATGGATATCTATCTTCATCCCACTAAGTTTTAAACTAGTATCAATTAAATTCAACTAATGCATTCATTATTAAATGTCAAATATCGCCGAAAGAGAGAGAAATAATAAAAAAAATCCCAACGCTTCCGTAAATAAACAAAATTCCAACAACAACAACAATATTCGACGTCATCAGACAAAGTCAAATGAATTGCGGATAAATAAATAAATGTACGTATAAAGTGGCGAATAAAATGACATAATAGAGCAAATAAAAGTATATAGCTTCGGGCATACGCAAAAGTGCAAAAACATATATTTTTATATATACATATATATATAATTCTCTGGCTGGATTAATGGAATCGAATGCAAGTTAATAAATAAGCGAAGGCGAAACGAATTTAAATACAAAAAAAGAGAGTGTGCGAAGTAGGGGAGATCATAAATTATTTGAAATTTCAAGAAAATATTGGGAATATAATAAAGGATTTTTTTTTTAAGAAAAATCATTAAAGAAATAAGTATTTTTCTTAGGTTCATTAGGAAAATTAATAAGAAATATTATGGTGAAAAAAGTAAAACTATATATAAGTTAAAGAGGAAGTAAAAGGATTTTTAAATTAAGAAAATGTT